TCTTAATTCTGGTGGACTGGATTATACGTCAGACTGTTGGGGTCGTGGAGTCAGGAATACGCTGGAGAAACTGGACTTCGCGAATGCTATACGTCTAATGTCACATAAACTTGAAGATCTATACCGAAGAAAACCAACAATTTGACAGAGGAGGCTACGAACGAAAATTGGATTTCAGGTGAATATCGAGAAGACAGAGATGATGAAGGTACCTAACCAACATTAACAAAGACTAAACATCATCATCAATGGTATAAAGTTAAATGAAGTCACCACTTTTTGACATATCTAGACAGGTACCGGCATTTCAAATAAAGGCGGCCCGGATGAGGATGTTAAAGCCAACCAGGACTGAAAAAGCAAACAGACGACCTTCACTACTCTGAAATCAGTATGGAAATATGTTTCACTCTACATGAATAAAAAGGTTCGGATTTTCAAGATTAATGTGAAGGCAATCAGTGCTTCTATGGAGGTTCACACAGATTTAATTCTCTCGTCAACAAAATCACTCCCACCAAGCTGCAAGCTTTTATCATCAGTAATTGGTTGCATAATGAAAATCGAAATAACCGGATAGAAAGGATTAGTATAAAAGAACTCCAGGAAAGAAACACCAACCAAGATAGGTTGATATAGGGTCAGGCTGGAAAAGAGCTAGCGGCGGTCAAACCAAAACATGGCACCAGTCAATGAAATCTACAACAGTTAGTCTAGGCCATGTAGGAAGGTGTAGACTTCCTGACTGCTTGGGGTCCTCGGGACTGTAAAAACCAATGAAGGCTGGAAACAATTGGTGACATGACTCAAAATCGTCGTTGTCAATAGCTAGCGCAGATGCATCCACTCCTTGTGACTTATGATTTCCAATGAAACTGTTTTGTTCTTCGTTATTACTATTCTTTTGTCTGACACCTCTGTTTACTGTTTATATTATGCATTTCTTCTACTTTCTTCTCCTGCTTTGTGTGCTACATGTGGGGAGTGTGGCGACTTGAACTGCAGCGCATCGGTGCAAAGTTCAATGTTGAAAACCTACAGACAGAACACGGGGCCTCAGGGACAAAGTTAAACTTTAAGCACCACTAACTACTTTCAATCACCAAATGATCTCGAACACACGTGAAGAAGGCACTTTTGTCTATGTAATACATATTTATTTATGAGAAAAAACTGCATAAAAACTGCAGAAAAGTGTTACAGAGGATATCTCCATTACACATATGTGATAAAAATAGCTCTCCTGTTATAGGTTGTAGTATCAACTGAGTATGAATTCCATTGTGGGTAAAATTTATTTTGATAAAGTCTCACACAGTGTTACATTGCTACTTTTTAGAAAGACAGCAGTACATCGCGGATAAAGGGAAGTCTTCCACTTCATTGCCTACTGAAACCGGTGTCCCTCAAGGCGCTGTCCTTTCTCCTTTTCTTTTTTCTTTCTTCTTACATGACTTGCCTCAGTCTGATGAAATAAACTTTGTGAAGTACGCTGATGATTTAACTGTTTCAATGGCTGTTAACTCTCAGCTAGACTGTACCAAAATAAATAGCTTTCTGTCGGGAGTCAGTAAGTGGTCTGAGTCTAACGGTCTTAAACTGAATCCTTCTAAATGTCAAACTGTTAATTTCAGCTTAAGATATAAACGACAGTTAAAAGAAGCTGTCGATTCTCATGATAGTTGTAAGATTGATGACAATGATATAGGAATTAAATCAGAAATTAAGTATCTTGGACTTATTCTCTCTTCTGATCTCTCCTGGTCTTCCCATGTCTCAGCGATCTCCAGTAAAATATTCCGCCTGACATTTTACATTAAGGAGTTAAGGCACTGGGGAATAACTCAACCCCTCCTCTTACAGTTCATAAACTCTTGCATCCTACCTATTCTTCTTTATTGTTCACCCTTATTCTTTCCTGGTTTGCTTAAAAAGGACTATGTCACAATTCATAGAATCCTGAAGACTGTCAGTTGGGTGAGTGGTGTCCCAGTGGACCACATAGTTAACGTCGTTGTCGATAGGCACTTGACTTCGTGTAGTAAATTTGTTAAAGGGATTATGTCTGACTTGGAACATCCACTTCACCCTCAGCTTTCACCTTGCATCTCCTCGGGTAGAACAAGAAGTAACTTCAGAAAACTGTATGCTCGCACGTCTAAGTATAAAAATTCTATGATACCATACTTGGCACGTATTTTATGTGATGAAAATAGCGTCAGGTAAGAATTGACTAACCTTTTTTCATCTAGTAAATAAACAATCTCCTCCATACATCCTTATAAACCTTCAAGTTTTACATCTATTATTTCTATTATATTTATGGTCCTGTTGCTTCTTTGTTTTACTTTCATAATTGCAAACACCAACTTATCTCTATGACTGCTGTAATCTTTGTTTTTCCTCTCACCATATCGTGTAAAGAGAACATTATATTCAATATTTTTAAACATGCTAGGATTTGTATACCGCATCGATAATACTGTGTGAAACAAGCCCACGGCAATTTTCACTTGTATTATTATTATTATTACCTTAGCTGCTATCATTATTATTATTTCCATTTTATATGCTGCATGTTTTTGACATTACCCCTATTGTAAATGTAGAAAAATTTTCTGTGTGATTATTGTTATTTATAATTTGAGGAAATTAGATGCAATATTGTGATTAATTCTGAAAATTCCATTCTGTATCAAAAGTACTGTTTTTGGAATAAAGTAAGTCATTATTATTATTACTATTATTATACAGTAATATTTACTCAGCAATAAATCTTTGCTCGAAACGTGGTCATCAGTAAATATTACTGCACTGTATAACACTGTGAGACTTTATCAAAATGAATTTTACCCCCAAATGGAATGGAATTATACTCTACCGCCACGGTGCACAAGTTCTACTATTCCTATATCAGCAGAGTAATTTAACCACGTTCTATGCATGTAATTAATTACCTAGGTCTTCTAACATTAACAATAACCAACGCTTATCTTTTCTAAACCTGACTATAAAGTGAAGGTATCCCTCAACTAATCCCAATGTAACTCGAACCAACCATAATATCTCCTTTATTGGGTCATCCTAACCCTAACTTGTCCTTGGCTTAAAGAGTAATTCAATCTTTCCCAAACCAAACCTCACACTTCCCAGATATCCCATTTAATATCATAACACTTCGATGAGGATATTTTATTGATGATGACAACAATATTTGCCAGGTTTCGCCAAGTTGCGTTTCATGGTCATTGGTGAGGTTGCACTCCACTGGTAGTTAGCGGTGCTTAAAGTTTAACTTAGCCGCTTCAAGCTTGAGCTCTGAAATTTCGGAAGCAGTGGTGTTCACTTTTACGGACTAGGATTGAGCTGGCCTCACGCCTAACCTTTGCCTCTCTACCGGTCTTATTACCGGCTTAACGAGGTCTACGGGTTGAACCAAGAGCGTTATAATTGAACACCTCGTCAGCACCTGTCACACTGTCTCAACTAACTTATCACTTACAGTCATTTAGAAAAATCTACCAAACTTAGCGTGTTTTCGAATACTCCAGAAGCCCTCGTCATATGTCTCGAAAAACCGAAACTGTGTGTTCATAAGAAACTGGTTCAACCCCAACATTTACCATGGATCTAGTTCGGTTTATCTCCTTAGGTCGCGTTTTTTCATCCCCTTCATTCCCACCCTTTTTTTTTTAAATATTATTCTTTCAACCTGTTCTCATGCTCGTTGCATTCACACCTGTAATATCTAAAAAACTACTTTGAAATCCTATGTAATCTTGTCTCTAAGACCCTTGTAATCTATATTCACTCACACCTTCAAACTTTCATGTCAAATTGAAAATTATTATGACTCTTAATCACCTTCGTTACTACTATATGGAATTAAATAAATAATAATTGTATCTATGTAAACTTATGTATACAAATGCAATTGTAAAGGTGCTTTTGAGAATAGAAATCGCCGAAAAGGTAGACACATCACTGCTGAACTTCTTGTTCTTTTCCTTCTGTCTTCTGAAATCAGTTGCACTCCTACATAAATAACAAGATTCAGATTTTCAAGATTAATGTGTCAAGGCAATCAGCGCTTCTATATTACTGGTGGTTCACACAGACTTTGATTTGCTGCTCGTCAACGAAATCACTCCCAACAACCTGCAAACTCTTATCATCAACAATAACTGTCCACTTCGTTGGCTGCATAATAATGAAAATCAAGATAGCCGGTCAGAAGGAACTATTATCAAAGAACTCTAGGAAAGAACCGCCACCAACCGAGAAACGGAGATGGGTTGAACACATGTGGATATCACACATGCGAGACCCTAGTATAGTGAAACCTGAATAGGAAGCAAACGAGTGACGAGTTGGACGTCCGAAAATTATGGTCAATCGTTGAGTCAGCTGGAAATGGTCTCCTAAGTGGTCAAACGACTACGCACCCCCGATAGAATTAGTCAGTCAACCAACAAAACCAGTCAACCAGCCAAACAATTAGAAAGACAACATAAGACCTTTCCTACAGCGACTTCGAGAGTGACATTCTCCAACCGCCCACTGATTCAAGGGAATGTGAATGACAGACTTCAGCATATGACCACCGGCTCGTGTAGAACTAGGTACATAGGTCGTTCCTATGCGGGTCCTTTCAAAACGTGTGAGGGAACATTACTCAGCATGGTTGTAAAGAGGAGGTACTGGTTGAATCAAGAGCGTTATAACTGAACACCTCGTCAGCACCTGTCACACCGTCTCAACTGACTTACCACTCACACTTATTTACAAAAATCTACCGAAGATAATGTGTTTTCGACTACTTTGTACTCCAGAAGCCCTCGCCGCCATAAATCTCGAAAACCCGAGGCTGTGTGTTCATAAGAAACTGACTGGCTAAGTGGTCCAACGAATACGCATCTCCGACAGGTCAGGTCAGTTAATCAATTCGAAAAAACAATATAAATTCTAAGTAATTAGAGTAAAACAAATAAAACAAAAACAGGAAACCTTCTTAGGAAAATAGACAAAATCTTATTTTTATCAGTTACACATAAATGCAATAACAGTCAGAATCCTTTCAACGATAAAAATCTGTCAGTATTCTGTAATATTCATACAAAATAATAACAATAGTAATAATAATAATAATATAAAATAAGGCACACAATAAAATGCAACAGTAATGTGTAGTGTGTAGCACAACATAAAACGCTGAGAGATTCAAAAACCGGGGAGGAGGAATAGAAAAATGGCTTTCTCTTCAAAATTTCATCCATTGTTGGTGATAATTTCTGGGTATATATTTTTTCTTTTTTCCTTTCCTTTTTTTCTAACTAATGAACAGGTGATGATAGGATTCGATCTCTGATAGACTTCAATTCATCATTGAGCATATCCTATGGTCATTATAATCAAGGAGAGAGAGATAAAAAGAAGAAGAGAAAAACATGAAACATTTCAAAGACAAATCAATATTTTTGAAACTGTCCATATATATATATATATATGTATATATACGCATTTGTACGACAATGCTGCATACCAAGTAATCCACAACGGGAAACTTACGGAATCCTTCGAAGTGAGGACAGGAGTAAGACAAGCTGGCTGCCTACTATCGCCAATCATTTTCCTGATTGCGGTAGATTGGATAATGCGACAGACACTGGCGGGCAGTGGGGAAACAGGCATAAAATGGATCCTCACGAAAAACCTTGGAGGATCTGAACTTCGCCGATGATATATGTCTGATTTCCCACAAACTGGAAGATATACAAGTGAAAAGTAACAAGTTGGCAGAAGAAGCATCAAAGATAGGACTTCAGGTGGACATGGAGAAAACAGAAGTAGGTGCTGAAGATTCTTGGGCAACACCACCACCAACAACAACAACAGACAACCATCAGCATAAATGGGAGGAGCCTGAAAGAAACAACCTCCTTTACCTATCTACCTGAGAAGCATCGTTTCAACTACAGGCGGACGGAACTGATGAGGATATCAACAGCGCTGTCGGGAAAGCAAGACAAGTTTTCATTACTTTCAAGTCTGTGAGGAAGTCAACAGCATTCAGCGTCAAAAATAAGATCCGGATTTTCAACTCCAATGTGAAGTCAGTCAGTGCTACTATACGGAGCAGAGACTTGCACTTCGCGTCATAAAGAGCACCTCAAACAAACTACAGACCTTCATTAACAGTTGTCTTCGCTCAATACTACTCAAGATCAGATGGCCGGACACAAAAGATCAGCAACAAAGATCTCTGGGAGAGGACCAACCCAGCAGGAACCGATTGTGAAACAAATAGGCAGGAAGAAATGGAGATGGATTGGCTGGCCATGCTCTGAGGAAACCATCAAGTGACATCACTAGACAAGCCATTGGTCGAGTGGAACCCGAAAAGGGAAGCGGCGAGTTGGTCATCAGTGCAAGGTTGACTTGGAGGAGGTCATGTGAAGAGGAGATGAAAACGTGTGGGCAGACATGGAGCCAGGTGAAGACTCTAGCAGAGCACCGAACGCAATGGAGACGCGTGGCTGAAGCCCTATGTTCCTCTAGGAATTGAAGGTAATAATTATAATTTGTGAATTACTTACTACTCGTCAGACAAGAAGAATTAAATCAAAGGCAGATCATCCTGGAGATGTGACTGATTGACCTAAGCACTCAACTATCGATCAAGTGAAGGTTTAATATGGGAATCCTCGTATGCATAGCTCATAGCTCTAAGTAACTCTATAATGATGACTATGCTTCACATCTTAGCTCCGTGTATAAACATTAACAATTTTATTCAATTAAGAAAAGCAGTAGAATCCACAGTGAGGACTTTGTTCTATTTGGAACTCTTCATCTGGATGTACTTGAAATCCCAAGTGAATGGGTGATGCTTCCATTGAGACAATGAATCCAGTACCTGTCGTCTGTCAAATACCACAGTTTTATTCACTGGACAACCACTTAGACAACAACAGCCATCTCTATTTTGTGTAACGTATATCGCGTTATTTACTCGTCATGTTAATTCTGTGTGTGTGCGTCGGTGGCACAGTGGTTAGGACTCTCGCCGACCATGCACATGGTCCGGGGTTCGATCCCCTGCCGGCGCACACCCGATATCTATGGTCGGCCTGAATCTGGGCTACCGATATCCATGCTGAAAATTCCACACTGAAAATACGGTGTGGAATCAAGCTGTAAATCAAAATTAAAAAAATAAATAAATAAAAAGAAACACGTACAACCACTAAATCTATACGGGTGAGAAACTTGCGCTGCGCACAAGTCATGAAAAGGATTTCCAACAGGCCACTACAGAGTTTTATCAACAGTTGCCACCTTCGCTGACTGGCTCCATACTGAAGATCAAATGCCTAGTCAGCCAACAAGCCAGAGAGATTTAGCAACAAGAAACTCTGGCTGGCAACAAACCAACAAACAGCCGATCGCCCAACAACCAGTATGTAGGAGAAGATGGAGATGAATCGATCGGGCAAAGTGTTGAGGAGACCGTCGAATGACGTCACGCAAAATGCAGGCCATTGTTCGAGTGGAATCTCAGTGGGGAGCGACGAATGATTCGTCACACAGAGGTTGACATGGAGGAAATCAGCGATTATGGGCAACCTTGAACGCAGCTAAAGAGGATAACAGAAAATTGGAACAAAGTGGAGATGTGTTGTTGAAGCCCTATGTTCCATTCGGAACCCAAGGGAGTAACTATGATAATAATACTGCCAATATTGTTAACCTGATCTTCTGTGGAATCTATAAATTCATCAATAACGTTTCATTTTTCCTGATTTATGCATCTTGTCAATTACAGATGCTATGGAACTATCATCTACTGACCTTGATGATTCGACGTTATTTTGGATGAACACTAATGCTCAAGTTTTAGTTTGCAGGGATTTGATTAGTTTCAGGATTTCATCATGAACTGACATCAGTTAGAGGACCATTGGAAAACCAGCCGGGAGTATTGGACAGCTAGCTGTTTCATCCTAGTTTGGGACTTCTCAACAATAGGCGCCCACTGAGGTTTCCAAATAGAACCCAGTGGTCACAGCTTATCGGTGATTCACTGATTTCAAGTTGGATCGAAAACTGATACATCAGTTAGAAAGAAAACCATTGAAAATAAGCACGGCGTACTACTACTACTATTACTCGATGTGGCTGTTTCGTCCTAGTTTGGGACTCTTCATCAGTACGACTCAGCTCTGCACAACAGGTGGTTATCGTAGCTCACTAGGCCAGGGGAAAAATCTTTTTAACCTTTAGTCCAATAGGACAATGTCTCTATTGAAATATTAATTCGTTTATTAGATGTATCACACAGTGAAGAAACAGTATTATTTACTGGATGACGTTTCGAATACAATTCATCACTGTTCATAATCATATCATCAATTATAATCACACGACTTTGAAACTTGAGTTTCATAGTTTACTTCGTTCTCTCCTATTTGTCGTCATTGGCGAAGTAGAATTTTTTAGATATCTGGGACGGGTGTTGAATCATTCCTATTACACATGTTTGCAGTTGATTCGATAAACACAGCTTCCGTTATCGATCTCTCCCTCCACCCTATGACAGATTAGCAAAACATAAAAACCTAGCAAAATCTAGATTAGTTGACCCGAATAAGATAAGAAATCTAGAGAATAGTTCAGCTATAACACTCACTACATACAATTACACACAACCAACCATACCATAGGTTGGGAAGGGATAAAATGACAGTTTTAAGATATAATATAACAACAGGGTGGAGGGAGGGATTGATAACGGAAGCTTTGTTTTTTTCGAATCAACTGGAAATACGTGTCCACCCACCCGGACATCTGGAAAATTCTACTACTCCTACGACGAATAGGTGTAGGAATAAAGAAAACTATAAAACTCAAGTTTCGAAGTCGTATGATTATAATTGATGAAATGATTATGAACCGCAATAAATTTTGTTCGAAACTTTGTCATCCAGTAACTAATACTGTTTCACACTGTGTGTGATATATCTAATAAACAAACTTATATGGAATTACTTACTACCACAATGCCCAAGTTTTACACATATATTAATATGTCTCCAATGAAATATAATGGCGTACTTGCTGAGATGTAACCCGCTATAGATTGGACAATAATTCCCCCCGGACTCCTCCATCGAGAGAAAGGATAAAGCAAACACACAAACACAACCATCATGTTATTTAAAGCTTGATGAATGTACCTTTTGTTTAACTTCTTGAGTGAGCGATAGAATACGCATTTCAGCTTGACGACGTTCACACTGTAGCTTATCCAATTTTCTTTGATATTCGGCCTTTTGACGATCATTTACAATAAGGGCATCATTTAATTGTTTTGAGTAGACAGTAGTGAAATTATTGATTTTGGTTTGTACAGCTGAATAATCTGAAGTCAATCGATGAAGAGTTTTTTTAAGGGATTCTTGTTTCTAAAAGTATATGAGAAAAAACAAACAAACAAGAGAAACTGTTAATAAATTTCGAAATCAATAACGAACTGATTGACATCAATTAGAGAAGTACTGAAAACAAACAAGGAGTACTGTACTGGAAAGTTGTTTCATCTAAAAATCAACCAATCAACAGACAGAAAATAAATCTAAAGCTCAGAAGTGTAACTAACTACATGATGAGGTCAAGCCATAGTTGGATGTGAGTGAGGACAGATACTCGCTGACGACATTGATTGACGGTCAATCAATCTATAGATATCGCGCCAATTGGTAGAAGCTATGAAACCATAGACCAGTGGATTTCGTTCCAGTGGTGATCAAGCTTAGTGATCAACGACCTCATCTTGTAACTTGAAGGTTCAGGGTTCAATCTCTCATCCGGTTATTGATGTGTACTTCTGAATAGTCGCAAACAAGAATGAAACAACTGTCATGTACTATCCTTGGTGGTTTTTAATGGTTCTCTAAGTGATGTCAGCCATTTCATGGTTAAACTTGAAAGAACTATTACAGTTACTAATTTGATGGTGGCTAGCAATGAAATGTGGCAGGCGCACTTCGTCCTGTTTGAGATTCATCACCAGCTAGAGACATGTGTGTCCCGCCCAAGGAGTTTTGGTGCTTCCAGCTAGATTCAAACCCAATACCTGTCCTTACAAACGATGAAGCGCTACCTACAGAGTCAATGGACTACAAGCTTGTGAATAAGCTCGAGAAAGCCATTCAAGGAGGTCGTTTACCTAATTGAGGCTGATCAATTCAGTCCAGTTACATCAAGTGAAAGTGACAAATACGAACAAAACCGGAATATTAGATTTACTAAGGTCTTTTTAGGCAAAAATGGTAGTTAGAACTTATACAGGCAGAAGGGACTTTTCACCTACCAGGCAATTATTATTATTACAACTTCATTCAGTTCAGTGCGTCGGTGGTTCAGTGGTAGAACGTTCGCCAATCAGCTCACTCTCAAACTTCACTAAGGCAGTAGCAAGGCCGGTAGAGAGGGAAGTGTGAATATACGGCTAGCAAACTCCACCCTGTAAAAATGCAACAACTGCTACCGAAACTTCAAAGCTCTAGTTTGAAGTCACCCGATGTTCCACTGGGAACGTAAGGGGATAAAATATATATATGAGTTAAATAATATCGGTCCAAGATGGAACATAAGGCTAAGCTCTGGTCTTTTTCTTTTTAGCTGGTTCCACGATGGTTCATAAGCCAATTATTCAACTATCTATAGATGGCGTATTCGAAACGCTTTCGTATGACATTGAGAAACTCTGTGTAGTACTGTGAAGCATTCAGGACCTGAAGTACGACATACATTGATTACCATGGGTAGAGTAACTGCCTAATTTTATTATGTAAGTTTATTATTATTATTATTAGCATTATTCTCATTATCCTTATTTTATTATCACTATATTATTGTTTATGAATAACATTGCATTTCCATACAGATCTTATATAAAAATCACTTTATCGTTTTTCCGCTAGTTTCTGCCCATTCTACACAATCATATTCATCAATCATTACATCACACTTATTATGTCACGTCAACTTCTGACTTCTTTTCTAACTTTCAATTAGTCATCCCTTATAGATTAACACCCTTACATCTTGTAATATATTTTGTCGAGGACAAATTTTATCACTATCTGATTTGTCTGATGAATTCTTTTCGGCGATATCATCATTCTCGAGCTGTACAGTCGCGTATAAATGAGATAAATTATCTGAGCAACAAAAGGAATATCTCCAAAGATGTGTGTCATTAGAATTGTAAATTTTAAATAACATTTTAAATAACATAATGTACAAAACAAACGCTAATCCAACAGAAACTTCAATAGGATTAAGTAAATTGAGTGTCGTAATATAATTGACGTGGTTGTGTAGAATTCCATTAAAATTGATTGAACGAGAGCCAAGTCAGCAACAATGGTAACTGTCGAAGCAATGGAGATTCATATAATTGAAATCCTGAACTCTGTTCAGACGTAAAAAAATCTACAATGGACCTGACCTATCTTAAGACTGGATAGGTAATTTTTTGTACTTTTTATTTCTTAATTGTATCATTTTCTTCCCTTACCCCCTATTAAAATCTCTCCCCATTATTACCACTCTGTGTTGTTAACTAGACTCTGCTTCAAATTTTAGTTGAATTCTACTCATTATGTCATTCAATTTCCCTACTTAATTCGATCTTAGTTTCAATCTGATTAACACTTTCTACATGATGCAATTTGTGATCTAAAATATTTACAATTCCTATGACACATTTTTGGAAACATTTCTTACGTTGATAACAAAATTGACAATATATATATGCAGTTGTACAGCTTGAGAATGATATCGCCCAAAAAAGAGTACATCTCTTCATTGAACGTCTCCTTTTTTGTGTATGAGTCAATGCGAATTTTTAAGTTATCCTGTGATTCCCAATGTAGCTGTTCTACTTAGACCAAAGGACAAAACAAAATGTTGTCTGGAGGATTTCATCATGAGTTGACATCAGTTAGAGATTCACCGCCAGGCTACAAATAACATTTCTCTTACAAGAAACGACTCACCCAGCACGTGAAAGACAAGCTGTCACATTGGGCCACTTTACCATGCATATACACGTTCACTTGCTTGTGTGGAGCTGAGTACATTGGTCGCACCATGCGTCCACTTGTGAAAAAAAACGCGTGGGAACACTATCCAGCCTAAATTTCCTCATGGGACATGGTTCTTAAAGATTATATATATATATATGCGTCGGTGGCACAGTGGTTAGAACTCTCACTGACCATGCACATGGTCCAGGGTTTCGATCCCCTGCCGACACACACCTGATATCTACGATCGGCCTGAAAAATTTGGGCTACCGATATCACATGCTGAAAATTCCATACCTGTATCAAAAATACTATTCTCATGCGACATATCTTTGGAAATATTCCTTTTGTTGCTAAGACAATTTACTATACATATATGAGATTGTACAGTTCGAGTATGATTTCGTCAAAAAGAGTAATTCTTCGCTGAACGCTTTTTCTTTGATATGACTCAATGAGGATTTTCAAGTTGCCTATGAATTCCTAATTAAATATAATTATGATTGTACAGCTTATGAAAACGAATCGTCGAAAAGAAAATTTTCTTCGTCGTTTACATAGTTTTCTTGCTTTTCTAATTCATCTACATTCCTAGCGGAATATAGGGCTTCAAGCTACAGGCTAGAAGTTTCGCTAGCAGTGGTGTTTATCTTAACCGGATGGGATTCCTAGCCTCATACCCAACCTTCCCTCATCACCAGTCGTATGACTGGCTTAGTGAGGTGAAGAAGTGAGTCGACCAGGGATCGAACCCCGAATATGTCTTCTCCTTAGTGCCTTTCTAATCACATTCATCATGATTGTTGAATCGGATGATTCTGTTTCTCGTCAATTGGAGTACTTAATCTTTGATTACAAAGATTACAAAAGTTTACAGACCTATGCAAGTTCAATTCATCTGCATTTCCTTAGGTTATGAGAGCGCCATACATATTGTGCGAGGATAGGTAATATACTGTTACCCATTTTGCCCAGGTCGAAAATAGGCAGAATAAGGAATTTTATCACCCAGGAATCAATAGGTATGTAAGTCGAAGGGGCAAGAGCTTAAGCTAATAATAAGGGAGGCATTTAAACATGGAGTAGCAGTAGGTAATAACTGCAACTTATACTGGTGTGGTGAGAGCTGTCTGCTAGACAAAATTGGTAGACATCAATTTACATCAATTTTTACTTCCTAGATCTGGGTCATGAGAAAAAATAAGAACAAAGACTAACTCAACAACCAATCGAGGCAGGCTTAACGTGGGCGGATACGACTAGCAGATATATCAACCGACTGTCTAAGAAACGGTAACAAGAGATGACAGAATAACCCTCAGCAAGAAAACAACCAATGAGAAGACGCTGTTCTCTGATAATAATAACGCTAATAATAATGTATATAAAAATCTATAAATATCTGTTGATTTTCTCAATAAACGATCTGTTGCCTGGCCCTTGAATGCGTCTCGAGTCACTAAGTTGCATCATACCACAGACACACCATCTCACAGAGTATTGATTAGTCGTTAGGACAGTAATGTTATGTTCAAAGTGATCACTGCAGCATTGGTTGACTATCTCTCTCCACTTATCTTGATCAAGTGGAAGATGTGCTGACAATAACGGTTATAGTGTGTATGTCAGTCACAGAAGCCACTGTTTTGAAACTGGAGGATTTCTTATAATTGGGGATTTCTTAGGATTTCTGCAACCGGATTCCAATTCGATTAAATGGTGTCACCACTGGATGCAAACACATAAACTTTCAAACTGTTTATAACAAAACTACACATAGATTCGACGTGATACGATTCGCCTAAGAGATGAATAACCTTCAGCAAGAAAACAACCAATCAGAAGACGTTGCTTTTCTGTTAATAATATCGAATAATACTGTATATAAAAATCGATAAATATCTGTTGATTTTCTCAGTAAACGATCTGTTGCCTGGCCCTTGTCTTCTGTAGTTACTCTAGTAGAATATATAAGCCTTTAACAACAGTATGATGAAAAGTGTTTAAAATTCAATCACAAAGAACACACATACATACATATATGATAGACAGACAGAAACATAAATTCAGTATCACGGTTTCATCATGAACTGATATCGGTTAGAAGAAGAGGATCATTGGAAATCCTGGAAACTTCCAGTGAGAAATCGTGACCAGTGGAGTACAACACAGCAAGTCGGGTGTGAAGACAAATACTCGCCAGCGATGACATTCGTTGCAGAAGTTCGTGAATTCGTGAACCATTGGTGTCTACGAGCTCGCCTTGTAACCAGAAAGTTCTGGGTTCAAACCTCAGGCGCGTACTGATGAAGAGTTTCAGTATTCCCACCCACCCCCCCCCGGCTGGTTTTACAATGGTCCTCTAATTGATGTCAGTTCACATGATGAAATCCTCAAAAACCAATCATTCAAATCCCTGTAAACCAACACTTGTGATAAAACCAAGTCATTCAGTGTACTAACTAACTGACTAACTAACTAACTAACCTTTTCTGATAATTTTACAGCATCTTGCACACGTTCAACACGTGTTCTCATATCGTTATGCACTGATAGCATACGTTCTGCCTGATTAGAGGTTTCATGTCCATCTAGGAATAGATGTATCAACTTTGTTGCATCCTCAACTTGCGTTTCAGATAATTTTTCTTCAGCTTTTATGACGGCTGATTTATACTCATCCATTATAGATCTACCAAAAAAAAAAGAGAAACAAGCCAAGAGAGAATAATCTTATAATGACTGAAAGAATAAGGTAAGGTGAGAAAATTTGGTGAAAAAAAAAGAGAGATTTTCTATAGTTTGGTTTGTAAGGGTTAGTTTTGCTCCCTACGAGTTGATCACGGATTGATATCAGTTATTAGAGAACCAGTGTGACTGAATGGTATACGAGCTAGCTTGCCTTGTAACCTGAAGGTCCTGGGTTCGGACCTCTCCTGTGAGGTGGGTGCGTACTGCCGATAATTCCCAAAAACTAGGATGAAACAGCTGGCTATCCAGTACTCCCTCGCTGGTTTTCAATGCTTCTCTAACTGATATCAATCCGTGATCAACTCGTAAGAAAAAACGATACATATTTATTTCACCCAATTAAAATAGTTAGTGATCACACTAAGGGTTCAAAATAAAAATCTGATTTGCGGCAGAATTTAGGCGAAGTTAAACTTTAAGCACCACTCACTATCAACAATCACCTAATGACCTCGAAAGCACCAATCACGTGAATGAGGCACTTTTGTGTATGGAATACATATTTGTTTATGAGAGAAAAAATGCATACAAACTGTAGAAAATTTGCGAAGCTTCGCAAATTAACTATCCAGCTCAGAGAACACAACCACATCGAAATCATAAACCTGAGCTACAAATCTTCTCTATCATATCTAAACTGTAGATAAGTGCTACAGAGGATACCTTCCTCTCACATATGTGATAAAAATAGCTCCCCTGTTTTACGTTGGAGTATCAACACAGTATAAATTCCATTGTGGGTAAAATTTATTTTGATGAAGTCTCACACAGTGTTACTCAGCAATAAATTGTGCTCGGAACTTGATCATCAGTAAATATTACTGTACTGCATAACCTTGTGTGAGACTTTATCAAAATGAATTTTACTCCCAAATGGAATGGAATTATACTCTACCGCCACAGTGCACAAGTTCTATTCTTATATCAACAGAGTAATTTAACCACATTCTATGCATGTAATTAATTACGTAGGTCTTCTAACCGACCCTCATCATTCCTAAACCCAACCTTAACGTGAAAATATCCCTAAACTAATTCTAATCTAAGTCGAACCAACCCTAATATCTCCTTTATTGGGTCATCCTAACCCTAACTTGTCCTTGGCTTAAAGCGTAACTCAATCTTTCCCAAACCTTGGCTGAAACTTCCCAGATATCCCATTTAATAACATAACACTTCGGTGAGCCCATTTCATTGATAGTGACAGCATTCATTGCTAGGTTTCACTAACTTGCTCAGTTAGTGCTTCAAGGTTATTGAAGCAGTCGCTTTCCACTGGTAGTTAGTTAGTGGTGTTTAAATTTTAACTTGGCCGGAATTCGAATCAGTCAGCGGTTTACAAATTAGTTAGTCCAATACTCTTCAACCTAACTGAGAGCTACAAAGCCCTGCTGTTAATCACTTCATCGCCTTGCTTGACAGGCTAATATTAGCTAACAAATAATTAATTTTGGGGAAACAGTTAGGGGGGGGGTCAAATCAAAACCTGAGAACAATCCATGAAGTCTTCGACTTCCTTAGTTTAAGCCAATGACATAGGGCAGATCTAGGCTGTTTGGTGGTTTATAGTCCTCGTAGGGTGCTAAGAACCAATAATGGGTGGCCGGTGACATCGCTAAAAATGACCGTTCTCAATTGTGCAGAGATGAATTTACTCTTTGCAGTCCTCCCATATCCATCCATTAAGCCTTGTGTAATGAATAAAAAGTGACTTATTATGGTCTGAAAGCATCAAGACTTATCATGCGGTGACAAGGTCTTCCATACAGATACAGCTCTCAAGCAGAAATGTAAGGGAGCAGGATAGGAATATGGAAGAAGATGACGGTTTAGTAGACATGGAAGGCCAAATGGAATGAATTCATCTGCTTCATTGAGGACGATTTCAAATCATATCACCAACAGTCTCTAGCCATTGGTTTTAAATATCCCGAGGTCCCTAACCAGGCAGTTTACACCTTCATATGTGGCTAATGCCGACAGTCGAAGACTTCATCACCATCTTGAACTCTTTTCCAACTTAATCCTATGTCGGTTAAACTTGATCGACGAGGAAGACGATGGCTATGCATGCGTATCACGTATCATAGCCATGTCAATCAATGTAGTTTCATAACCTCATGGATTGACTTACCGTCTGAACCTAATACTCTGCGCACCTAACCTGCACATTGTTCACTATAGAACGCAAACATCTGTGGTCAAAGATGCTTAATCTTTTCACAACCTTCTACTTTCAACAACGACATCTCACAGATATAAAGACAAACAGAGCAAAACTACTGCGTGGCACATACCATAACCGTTCGATCGATCGATCGATAGCCAGTTGGATATCATATCTACTCCACAGACGATTTAAGTTGGCAGACAAATACCACATGAGCCATTTTGTATCCATCCTGAGAGTTCGTCAGCAATCAGTCTACTGGGGTTAAGACAACTTCTCAGATGAGTGAAGTGGTCAACTTGCTCCACCAACCATTTCATTCCATGCCTATCTTTAAGCTAGGACTGAGTTAATGTAGTCCATTTCCGTGGTATCATCCTACATTTGATAGAAGCACAAGAATCGTATACTAAACATCTGAAAAATGCTACTCAATGTGTTCAGGAGTTAATCTGCCAAACTGTCTGCCTGTCTGTTTTCGACATAGAACTTTGCACCAATGTGTGTGTGGCAGTTCAAGTCGCCACACTCCATGCACCAAACAAAGCAAGAAAAGAAATGCATAATATAGACAGTAAACAGAAGTGTGAGACAAAGGAATAGTGATAACGAAGAACAAGACAGTTTCATTGGAAATCATAAGTCACAAGGAGTGGATGCATCTGCGCCACTGAGAACGATTTTGAGCCATGTCACCAATTGTTTCCAACCATTGGTTTTTACAGTCCCAAGGACCCCAACTAGTCAGGAAGTCTACACCTTCCTACACCTACGTGGCCCAGACTAACTGTTGTAGATTTCATTGACTGGTGCCATGTTTTGGTTTGACCGCCGGTAGCTCTTTTCCAGTCTGACCCTATATCAGCTAACATTGCTCGTTGGTCGAGGAAGGCGATGGTTAGGCATACGTATCACATGTCCTAAACCTTCTCAGTCGATGTATTTTCACAGCCTCGTCGATTGATTTCCCCTTCCAAACTAGAGTAGATAAGAAACAAAACATATAGTTACTTACTTCAAATTATCAGCTTCATTTCTTAAGCTGGAAATTTCCTCACGTAAATTTTGTTTCATTAATTCAACATCATCATTATTATTATCGTTATCAGTATGACTAACATTCATTATAGAGGCTTCTTTGTGTTTATATAGTGATCCACTGAATGATACATTATTATTATTATTACTATTACTATTATTATTAGTAGTAGTAGTAGCAGCAGCAAAAGCATTACTGTCACCATCACTCATATCAAATGTGTCGCCGAGTTTTTGATTCAGCGAGACTTCTTTTAGAACTTGTCGAGATTCAGACGTTGTTGACGTTGGTGTCGCTGTCACCTTAATTGATTCGGCTTCACTTATCATACTGATATCTTCGATATCTTCAACAGCAGTAGTAGTAGTAGTAGTAACCTGCAAAAATTTAGAATAAGTATCATATAAATTAATCGTACATAATAATACTTTCTTTTTAATAATAATAATAATAATAATAATAATTTGCTTTATTCCAAAACAGTACTTGTGATACAGAATGGAATTCTCAGCATTTTTACTACAGTATTGCATCCAGTTAGTACATTATCAATAAATAAAATTCTACATAGATTGAGGAAATCTCAGTTCATTATGACAACAACATATTGGAATGTCGGTAGCAAAGGTAAAGCTGAAACAGTGTTTGAAGGTGTTAGAAAAGTGGGGGCTGTCTTATTAACTGGCGTAAGCGAGAGAAAGAGACAAATCAGCACATAACGGAAAAAGAAGAGAGAAAAGGAACAGAAAGAAAGAAAATGTTGTACCTATTGATGATGTGGGTTGGAAAGACGAGATCCAGTTGTACTACTGACTATTTAATGAATTATAGGTGTCACGCCCAATGCTTTCTTTATCACACAGAACACGAGCTAAGTAGGGTATGGTTGAGTTTTTGTACTTGCTGGTGCGAGCATATAGTTTTCTATATTGGCTTCTGGTTTTACCTGATGAGATGCAAGGGGAGAGTTGTGAGTGAAGAGGGTGGTGTGAGTTAGATAAAATGGATTTGGCCCATTTTTCACATGAGTCCATGTGCCTGTCAACCAGAATATTAACAAGCTGGTTAAGTGGCACGTTGCTTACCCTGCTGACAACCTTTAACATCCTGCGTAATATGTTATAGTCTTTCTTCAGTAGCCCGGGAAAAACTAAGGGGGAACAATAGAGAATAATAGGCAGGATGCGAGAAATTAACGAATTGTAGGAGTAAGTTTTGTTAATAATTCTACTTATAACTAAATTTAAATTTTCCCATCGAGTGAGTGGACCGAAGTGCTCGGTCTAAGTCTAAGGTTGACAAGTCGGACTCCTTGTACAAATGCTTCGACGATGCTTGCTCATGTAACTTGAAGTCAATTGGTGTAATGGTGACTAGCAGTGAAATCCAGGATGCGCACTGGGTTCTACTAACCTTGGTGAGAACATCATCACTCACAGGGGAATGCAGGTACATCCAATTGGCGAGTCCCAGATAGGACGAAATAGGCATCCTGCACTCTACAGTTAGTCACAATCAACCAACTGACTTCAAGTTACATGACCAAACATCGTCGGAGCATCTGCACACAAGGTGCTCGCGACATGTCAACCTGAGACTGAGCACTTCGGTCCAATCAATCCACAGGAAAATCTGAAATTCAATTAAAGAATGTAATAGAGATGTGCTGCCGCTGAAACCTCAAGGGAATTATTATTATTATCATTATTATTATTATTATTATGATAATTCAATCTACCTACCTGTGGAACTTTCATATTTTCTTTATTTTCACCTTCTACAATGTTATCGATTCCTGAGGTTTTATGATTAGATATTTCCATAGAACAGATCATACTAATTTTGTTGTCACCACTATTATCTTCATACCCATCGACATCGCCATCGCCATTATCATCATGTACTGAACTCACTGTTTTCCATAATTCCTCATCTTCTAACGATACAACATTTTCAAATTTTTGTTGGTGTAGTAGCGGTCGTTGTTGTTGTTGCTGTTCGCATGACATAGATTGTGTGTATGGCGAAGATGTTGAAGCGAATGACTTTAAATTTCTAGATTGATCTCCACATTCTTTTCTCATCTCAACTGAATGTTTGTCATCCTCATCCTCATCAAGAATACCTTCTTCAGATTCTTTTATCAGATTCTGTGTTGTGTTCAAAGCGTTTTTATTAACTGCTAATTCCTCTACTACTTCGTCTTCTTCTTCTTCTTCTAATGATGATGTAGTATTGGTACTGTTCACTTTGGCGGCGTATGATTTTGATGTATCCGCCGCTGTACTGTGTTGATGTTTACAATCACTCAATAAAGAATTATCCTCCATTATTATTGATGTTTGTGATAATGCAAAACTTGAAGATGTAAGACGTGAGTACACAGAGCGTACTGCTTTAGCTAGAAAGCCAGATATACCACCACCAGTGTAGGATGTATTATCATTATTATTATTATTACTAGAATTAATATTAACAGTGGTATTTAACTCATCATCCTGTGCCATAGTATTAGTACTAGAAGTAGTAGTAGTAGTAGTAGTAATAGCAGAAGTAAGGGGAAGAACTTCTTGTCTCTCAATAGACCTTCTTCTTCTAGATGAATCCTTGTCATATTGCGGTGTAGATATTGATGCAACATCGGTATTTGTTATCAATAAAGACTTTGAATAGATTGGTGACTGCAGGGGTACACCGATAACTGTCATATCCCTTTGCTTTTTCTGTAAACATGTTCCACTGCCGATGGGTTTTACTACATCAAATGTTAATGAAGGCGTAATCTGTTTGGGAACTTTAATTTCTGGAGTTACACCTACAGATAAAAGGAATACATACATACAGCGATAAATAATTATCCACACATCGATTTTATTGATTTTTTTTTACTTTATAATTCTAATTTGATTAAAACAAAATAGACAATATGGATAAATAGTCTTAAAAAACCTTTGTAACCTAAAGGTCGTGAATTCGAACCTTAATAGGTGTGAACTGTCTGAAGAGACTGAAACTAGGACGAAACAGCTGTCTAGTAGTACTCCCTGGTTTTCCAAAGATTTTCTAATTGATATCTGACTGGTTTCAAGATAGAACTTTGCACAGATGTGCTGCGGTTCTAGTTGCCACACTTCACTCAGCACACAGAGCAAGAGAAGAAAGTAGAAAGAAACACAAAACAGAGACAGTAAACAGACATATGAGGCAAAATGAATGGTAATATCGAAGAACAATATAGTTTTATTGGGTATTTAAGTCATAAGGAGTGGATGCATCTTCGCCAGCCATTCTGAACGATTTTGAGCCAGCCATATCACCAATTGTCTCCAGCCTTCATTGGTCTTTACCGTCTCGAAGACCCCAACCAAGAAGTCTACATCTTCCTACGCGGCTGGCTGGCTTAAGCTAACTGTTGTGGATTTCACTGACTAATGAAGCCATGTTTTGGTTTGACCACCACTGACTCTTTTCCAAACTGACCCTATATCAGCCAACATTGCCTGTTTTCGAATAAGACAATGGCTAGGCAAGCGCAACACATGTCCTAACCATCTCAATCAATGTAACTTCACAGTGTCATCGAGTGATTTCCGCCCAAGTGGTTTAACTGATGTCACCTCGTGATCAAACCTACTTTCAGTATAGCATTATTGAATGAAACTGTCTGTATACAAGCACAACTCTTAAGAGTTAGTGTGGTGTGTGCTACTGACAGGATTTACCAGTAGTATATAAAGAGCTGTTCATACGAACACAAATATCAAATAGCCGAGAGATAGATTTGAAGTCAGAGAAAGGAAACGATGAACCATTATTGCGGTGAGACGTGGGAAACGTGAAAGGAACACAAAGAAACACAATATATGAAAGGGTTGAAAAACCACAACACAGAAGATCTGTGCAAATGACCATTTTCATATAAGGTATAGAGATACTATAGAGATACTTCCCGTTACCAAGCCTCTAGTCTTCTACTGTCACACTAGGACGCAGACTGAGACACTCCAGTCCTGAAATCCTGAATCGAATAGAAGAGAAAAATGAAGCCCACTGCCAACCCCTTCCCCCCCCCCTTTAATTTCATATAAAAGACGTTTAAACTCGAATCATATCGCCCGCCTGGAAGAAATTATTCTCAAAAACCAGAAGAAAATTCATCCTACTATAATATATGTAAAGAAGAATATTTCTGAAATAAACCCCATTTACAATAGGTAAGTAAACTACAACACATACACACAGTCACTTCATTATTCAATCATATGCACATCAAAAAGACCCACCGGCCGACAGCAATGGAAGACAAGAGATCAACAACATCGACTACAAAAAGTAAATTTGCAGGAATTGTGATAAACAACACTATACTACTGGCCTAAGTAGGCAGGGACCTACACTTCCACTTCAAATTCAAAAACATATCGACCTACGAAAATTATGGACAGCACAACAATTTGATTGAGAAAATACAAAAATGTCAAACAATGACAACACTAAAGAGAATATCTAGAAGCCTGCCATTGAGATGAATCTGCGATTAACAGGTACATTGAAATTACTATTATTATTGTTCCTTTGGGTTCCTAGTGGAACATAGGGCTTCAACTGCACGTCTCCACTTGCTTCTGTCTTCTGCTGTACTTTTCACTTGCATCCATGTTAGTCCATACTGTTTCAACTCCTCTTCACACGATCTCCTCCATGTCACCCTTGCACCGACGAACCACTCGCCGCTTCCCTTTCGGCTTCCACTCAAGGGCCTGACGCGCCATGTCACCCAACGGCCTCCTCAGCGAGTGTCCAATCCATCTCCACTTTCTCCTGCATATTTGTTGGGCGATTGGTTCTTGTTTTGTTTGTTCCCATAGTTTCTTGTTGGTGATTCTTTCCAGTGGCCATCTGATCTTCAGTATAGAGCGAAGACAGTTTTTGATCAATGTCTGCAACAGGCTGTTGGAAATATTCTTTGTGACCCACTGGCCAAGTTTCTGATCCGTATAGAAGAACTGACTGACTTCACGTTTGTAATGAAAATCCGAATCATTTTGTTGTTGATGTTGAGCTGAGTGACGAAGATTTCCGGATTGGTTTCAGGTTGATGAATGTGTTTCTCGCCTTCCCGATTGTCGACTTGACATCCTCGTCCGTTCCTCCTGTAATTGAGACAATGCTCCCTAACCTCGTCTAAATTACTAGCTCGCTAGTTTTCTAACCGGTCCCAAGCCCGGATAAAGAGGGAGGGTTGGGGCGTGGTGCTAGCAGCTCCACCCCCAAAACTTAACCAAATTGCTACAGAAACTTCAACGCAAAATTACTGTATATCAAACTGATCAACTCATAAATAATAAGTCAAATGACAGGAAAAGTCAAAATTCAAAGTTAAGGAAAGTGTTCAATAGTGATACAATCAACGCAGAACTCATATAGCTCAATAAATATGCCAAAGGAAATGCAGATAGATTGGACACACACACACACATTGAGGAGACCTCTGAGTGACATTACCCGCAAGGTCATCGCTCGAGTGGAATTGGAATGAGAAACCACAAGTTGGCCGAAGCTCTGAGGGCGGTACCGGATAGGAGATGAGACCTTATGGGAAATCATGAAACCAGCTAAAGAGGCCTGAAGAGAATAGAGTGAAATGTTGATATGCTGCTGAAACCCTATTTACCACTCACAACCACTCAAAGGAAAAACAATAACTATATAACGCTGGGAAAAGTTAGATACGTAATTACAAAACTAGTGTGGTGGATAGCTGTTTCGTCCTAGTTTGGGATTCATCGGCAATACGCACGCACCCATGACTTTCCGGTTGGTTACAAACAAGTAAGGTCGTATATCATTCAGCCAACGGGAACCAACTCAATGACCAGTCCATGAATTCTTGCTTTTACTAATTCGTGATAAAATCACGCAACCACCACCACTAGCAGAACCGGTCACATTTCTCAAACATACACAAACATACTACTTATTTTCACTCCGTTTTCCATTATTACAAAAAAATTTCCATAATAATAATAATCTTTCACCTTCAGCGTCCACACATGCACACACACAAACACACACACTCAAATCTATGCATCGATTTCCATATCTAACTAAGTGAATAGAAAGGCGATGTCAGTTTTAAGGCGGTTGGGTTGGTGTACACAGTAAAACATAAGTGTGAATCGTCTATCTAGTGAACATAGAGAAAGAGAGAGCAGTTTACCTTGGACTTTTATTATACAAAACATACATCAATATAAGATTTCAGTAGTGTGTGTGTTTTTTTTCATTCCATGGTTCTTTGTCTTTTATTCTTTTATTTTGTTATTTTCAACATCTAATCACAAAAACATGCAGAAACATGATTTTTTGAAATACGTCAAAAACGACTACTTTATAGTTTGGAGTATACAAAAAAAATAATAATAAGACTAGGGTAGTAACAATACAATATAATCTAGTGACAATGTTCATTCAGATATCACTTCCTTAGTTACGTGCCCATTAAATATAAAAGGAACGTTGTAAAATGTCTTGCGAGTAGAGCAAGAAAGATATGTACGGATGACCTTTTACAAAAGGAATTTGAATATATTCATGATTCCTTGATGGAGATGGGCTATCCGAGTAGCTTCATAAAGAAACATATGAAAACATCGGAGAAAAAACCGGAGACTCTGACTGCACGTAAGAAACCTCTATTTATTAAGTTACAATTTAATGGTGACTTATCAAGTGAGATTCTATTCCAGAGACTTTCAAGGAGTATACGAAGAACATTTTATGCAGCACACCTATGTTTGTCATTCTCTAGCCGACGAATGATTGGGACGCAAACAAAGGATAAGCTTGATAGTTTTGCCACATCTATGTGTATTTATCAATTCAACTGCACCTGTGGTGACAGTTTTGTTGGGCACACTACTGCTAGACAGCTTAGCCAACGTGTTAGTGAACATCTCCCATCGTCGTTTGGCAAAGGACAGACAAAAACAATCCGTAGCTCAATTTTGTCACACTTAATTGATAGTGGTAATGTAATCGAGAAAACGAGAGCCTTCAAAGTGATTCATCGTATCCCATCGAATCTTTCCAATAAACTTCGTATTCGTCTACTACACACAGCTGAGGCAATAGGCATTCGAACTATTAAACCTAAATTATGTATTCAAAAAAAGTTCGTACAGCCTTTATCCCTCCCTTGGCCTATTAAGACGTAACCAACTAATAACTTCTACACCACCCTTTGTTTGTATTTTCATCACCTTTCTTATCATCCCTTAATCTTATCTTCATTATAAACGTGTTTCATTTCCTTCCCTTACAATCTAACATTACTTAATCGGTTCATTTGTTTTTACTAGCCTTTATTGACTACTTCCACCTGAACAGTTGTTTGTTTAATCATGCTGTTTTTCATTATTCATGTTATCACAGATTGCCTCACTTTTTCATCCTTCTTATTGATGAGACCTTATTATTATTACTATTATCATTATTATTATTACTATTATTATTATTATTATTATTATCATAACGTCTATTATGACTAATTGCACAATTTATATTCACCATCGTATTATCCTATAGACAAAACACCATGATTGGTTTATATTTGAATTTTATTTGTAAACTTATATATATTAGAGTTAAGCCTGATGAGATCTAATTGAAAACAATATTGTTCGCTTAAATGTGTTGATCTAGAAAAAACACAAAATAATTGAGCGAGCAAAAAATATCCTTTTCGATGATTTCCTCCTCTTCTGGCTCTACAATTACATACATAGATATGTTTATATACATTGAATATTCTAG